TCCCTCCATGTCCTTTCTGCAAGTCAGAGAAGTGGCTTTTTTGTTGTTGTTGTCAGAAAGCTCTTGTTGATGGGGACACTAAATGCTCAGTTTATATATTTTTAACTTATAGACTAAACTTTTAATACAATTATTTTCTGTTTGGGAAAATTGGAAACCAAGCCATTATTTTATGTGTTCTTTTTCTCCATTTTAGAAGAAGATTCTGAAGATGTACCAGCTTCAAAGAAAACTAAAGGTGAGGTTTTCGTTTTTGGTCCATTTACAAGTTTTCTCTTAAGGTCATGATGTTTTGTTTGTCTATTTTATTTAACTCTTCCTGATCCAGTTCTCAGCTTTTCTACTCAATATCTACAGGTAGATTTTTTAAAAACAAATAGCTTTTCCATAATCATTATTTAGAAAACATATATCTTGTCAAATATGGAAGACACTACTTGAGCATTAATTTATTTACAATAACTGATGGTTTACTAACCAATCTGCAGGAACAGCACTTCCAAGTTATCATTTCATCAAAAACTTAAAGGATGTCATATTTTCATTAAGAAAAAATGAGTTGTCACCTATAGTAGGAGCACCATAACAAAGGAAGAAAGGAAAGGGCCAGCTCTGAGGTCTGGTGATCAGCCAATATGGCTGAACATGTCCCAGACCTGTAGCTTGAGAAACATGCCAGGCACATATACACATATGACCCAAATCCTGAAATGAGGAGGAGATCAAGGAGAAGGAATTGCAGGTGACCACTCCCATAGGAGGTGCTTTATTCACTCTCTGTCAGTTTCTTTCTCATGAGTGCATGCACTCTCTAGCTAATGAAAAAGAAGGAAGGAGGCAGGAGGGGAAGAAGGAAGAACTTAAAATCCCCAAAAGAAAGAACACACAGAAAAACCTGTTACCTCCAGATGTGTGATCTTGATCAGATCTTTCCAGTACAAAATTTCTCCATCTGTACAATTCCATTTCAAAACTTGTAAATGGGGAATCAGCAGTTAGCGTAATGGCTATGTTGCTGGACGCCCCCATAGTCGACCGCAGTTCACGTCCCGGACCCGGTAGCTTAAAACTCCTGCCAGGCACGTGTGCGTGCGTGCCCAAGATCCCCAGAGGAGAATAGAGGAGAAGGGACTGCGGCGTGACCATCCCCTCGGGGAGGGTGATTTCTCGCTTTCTGTCTCTATGTCTCTCTCTGTCTGTCTGGTGAGCGCACGCACCCTATAGTGAAAATCTCTCCCAAAAAAAATAAAAAAATAAAAAAATAAATAACTCACATCGGGCGTGTGTGCGCGCGTGCCCAAGATCCCCAGAGGAGAATAGAGGAGAAGGGACTGCGGCGTGACCATCCCCTCTGGGAGGGTGATTTCTCGCTTTCTGTCTCTATGTCTCTCTCTGTCTGTCTGGCGAGTGTACGCGCCCTATAGCGAAAACCTCTCCAAAAAAAAAAAAAAAAACTTGTAAATGGACAAAAAGAGTTTTTGTAAAAGCTGTTTTTACTATTAAAATACAGGTTCTGGGGCAGTGCCACAAATTAGCTAGCAATGGAGATAACAGTATTTTAAGGAAATTTACAAGGGAGTAGTTAATTAAATTTTTTGATATAGAAATGCTAAATATACTAAATATACTTCCTGAATTTTCTGTTTTTTTAAATCTTTAAAATATTGAATTGTTAAGAATAGTTACCGTTGGACCAGCAGATAGCATAATGGTTGTGTCACTGAACTCCCATGTAGTCAAATGAAGTTTTAGTTCCGGACTGGCAGCTTAAAATTCATGCCAGGCGCGTGTGCATGCATGCCCAAGACTCCAAGAGGAGAACGGAGGAGAAGGGATTGTGGCATCGCCATTCCCCTGGGGGGGATGATATATCACTTTCTGTCTCTCTGTCTCTCTGGTGAATGCGCATGCACACACACACACTCACACGCACATAAATAACTGTCCTTGCTACATTTTTGACTCCTACACAAGTGCTTCTAAAATTTTAATGTATATACAGATTACCTTTAGTCCTTGTGAAAATGAAACAAATCTGTGTTTCTGTGTTGTAACCTAAGAGTTTGCATTTAAAAATCTCCCAAGTAATGATGATAATACTAGTACATGGATCACACATTTTGAAGGGCAAGGCTGTAGAAACTATCAAAAAATTTTTGACAAACTTTGTAAACCTAACTATCTCTCTCTCACACAAAGAGAGAGAGAGAGTTGTAATTCCAAGGTTTTACAGAAAAAGCCCCAAAAGTCCATCTATAGGCATGGGTTAGGAATTTCTAGTATGCAGAAAGGGGTTCAAATAAATATTAGGTTGTCAGAAAAGTCCTAATGCATTTTTGCCTAGAAGAAACATAGAAAAAATGTATCATGACTTTTCTGACAACTCAATAGCTTCAAATTACCTATCAATAGATAAACATGTGATGTATATTATGACATAAAAAGTTTGAGTCAGATAAGAAAAGAAAAGGATACAGAGTACTGGTCTGCTGCTATTCTTTCATGTTAAGGACAATCACTAAAAATGTCGGTTGGTCACAAAAACAGAATTCTTTTGGCTAAAATGTTCCTCTTATAGCCCAATTCCATACTTATCATGTTGTAACTTTGAGCATCAAAGACCCTTCTCAAGAAAATATTGTACATCAGTTAGTCCTTATTGCCAATGTCCAACAAACCAGAACGGTTTTTCTATCTGACCACTTGCCTATAGCATGCCATTTAGTCTTTCATTGACTTCTCTTCTATTTCTGTTTCTTGTTTATTAAATTTTACAGTGAAAGTCTAAATAGTATCTGAATAAAAATCTAGAGTGTACTATATGGAGTGTAAGAAACTCCTGTTTTTTTTTTTTTCATATTGTGATTGTATTTAGAAATTCTCAGTCCAATACATATTTATATAACTGCTGTAAATGCACAAGGTATTTACTTTCCCATTTTTTTATGCACTAGAAGAATCTGAAGATGTGTCTTCCACAAAGAAGCAAACGAGTAAGTTTCTAATTAGATTCAACCTATTACATAAATCCATAGAAAGATGTTGCTTAGATATATAAATGTTAGACTCTATTAAGACCAGTACCGGATGGAAATGTTTTTAGCACAGACATGAAGAATAGTATTGAAACAGGTCATTGGTATTTCAAAGAGAAGTTCATTACTTTTTGTGTCATGCTAGAGGCACATAGTTGGAAGTATTACAAGTAATGGATGAAGTGGTATTTTTCACAAACTTCCACACAATCCTGATCCCAAGTCCTTGAGCAGAATCTATGCTTAAATGTGTGTTACTGTCTGTGTTATAATAGGAAAGCTGAAATTATATGCTGTACTTCTCAAATAGAAAAAAATATTGCAATTGGTTTTAACAATATAATTGCCCACAAATTCACTTTTAAGATTCAAAGGTCTTTTTAAGATTTTTCTTGATCCATTGCAGATTCTTAATATTCAATCTTTGGGATTCTTGATTTTAGAATCTAAGCAATATTCATATGCAGCTACAAAATTCAATATCCAAGATTCTCATTATTCTAGTACTTCCATATTTGATATTTTTGTTCAAATGGCAAAGCAACAAATTTTTGATTCACATATGCGTTAAATAAAGTTGTTACTGGACAGAAAAAAGAAAGCAATTTTTGAAATAAGTATAACCAAAGTTCAGTTCATATAATGCTTTTAATGTAAAGAACTAGACATTTATCTGAGGAAATAATATATATGGGTTATGTAAGGCTCCATATATGTGTTTCTGAAGGAAGTTACAAAATGTCCTTTACAACATCAAATGCTTCCTACTCTTTATTTATAATTGATTCACTGAAAAATATTGAGTGCCTACTATGTTTCAAGTACTGCTTTAGATTCTGGGAACGCATCAGCAGATAAGAGAGGTTACTTATTATCACCACTCATATAACCAGATTGTAAAAAAAATATACAGAAGTGAGCTGAGTCCCATGATAGTTTAGGTATTGAAAAATCCATAAGAAAATGAATTTTAAATCAATTTGGCTATGTTTTCAGTATACACAGTAATATTTTTCTGATCATTAACCTACAGGTAATAATTTATAGCTGTATAGCATAACACTTGAAATCTCTTATTTCATAAGTTAACATTAAACATAATTCAGTAAGATAGTTCTATTGTATCAATGGCAATTTTCTGGTCGGCATATTGTACTATAGTTTTTCCATTGGGAGAAAGTGGGGGACAGCATGTGAGATTCCTGCGTATTATGAAGGTACATGGGCTCTTTCTATAGCCTTTCTTATAAGTGCATGTCAATTTATAGTTATCTCTTAATATAAATTTTAATTAAAAATAAATATTTTTAGTAAAAAGGTATCAAATATTTTAAAACCAGTTGGAGGAATATATTGCAGTACAACTGTATTTCCTTTTTTTTTTTTTTTTTTAGAAGTTTTTGCCATAGAGCTCACCACAGAGGAAAAGAGACAGAGACAGTGAGAAAGAAAGAAAGAAATCACCCCCCAGGGGAAATGTCAACACTCAATTCATTCTCTGTTCTCCTCCTAGTATCTTGAGTGCACACACACACACACACACACACACACACATACACACACATTGTGGTTTTCAAGCCACCAGATCAGGGACTCAAACTGTGGTCAGTCACTTGGGAGTCTAGTGATGTAACCGCTATGCCATCTGCTGGTCCTTACATTTCCCATTTTCATCTTACTATAATAGCCTACCACTCATGAACCTTTTATATAAGCTTTAAAATTTGCAGCCATAATGATATTTCCATTAAGATGTAAATCCATATTAGGCCAGCCTATGATGTGGCGGTTAAGACTGCTGGATCCTATATGGCTGATAGCATAGATTGAATCTCAGACCTGGCAGCTTGAGAAATAGGCCAGTTGTGCCTGTGTGTGTGTGTGTGTGTGTGTGTGTGTGTGTGTGTGTCCATGTTCAAAATCCTAAAAGGAGGAAAAAGTAGAGGAGAAGCGATTGTGGTGTGAGCATTCCCCATGAGGTGGTCTGTCTTTTTCCAGTAAGGACAGACACCCTCTAGCAAAACAAAAAAAAAAAAAAAAGAAAAGAAAAAGAAGTAATTCAACATTAATTATTACTAAATATAATAAATATCTGTGTCAGGACAGTGCCCACATCTGGTAAGGTTCAATGAAAGGTAGCCTGTCATTGATGGCTCTTCCACTTCTAGTGCTGGTGTGTCTATTCGTCCTTGCTGTAGGCCTGGCTTTATTACCTTCCCTCCCCATAGCCTGTCCAACGTGCAAGCTCCCACAGCCTCTACAACTTTGAGGACGGGGGGGTTTGTTACTGCCTTTTTGAAGCTAGACAAAAGAAAAAATAATTCTGGATGAGATGCAGTTGAAAAGAGAAGATCTAAACTTGAGATTCCTCTGAACATCTTTCATCCTGAAAACCTAGTGAGTAAAGTCAGATAGCACCCAGAGTGATGGAATATGCATACTCCCTTGTCACTATTCTCAGCTTCCACACTTTGCTTTATTCCAGTTCATAAACCCTTTATCCATCTTTCCCACCTCCTACATATCACTAGCTACAATTGTCATTTTCTTTCCTGGCCTCTGTAAAGCCGTAGTTGGTTGAAAGGATGTAAATAAATGGATAAGTGGAAAACATTGAAGTGGATTCAGTAAACTTCCATGATTATAAGGAGAGGAGGCTGGACTTGCACCTGTTACCCAAGCTGCCAGCTGGGAACACTGTCTTACTGAACCCAGAGCTCAAGCTCATCTCCATTGCATCACTCTCTCTTCCTCAGCTTTAACTTCGTGTTGCTTTCTGCTCCAAGCTGCTACCTGGCAGCACTGCCTCAGAGAGTAACTAGGCCACTCCAAGAGCGCCCTTACCTCCAGAGTAAGGGCAAGTGGAAAACTTTAAGGTTTTAGGAACCATAAGGCTCTCAGTGACATAACACACCACTCACACACACACACACACACACACACACACACACACACATTACTTTGCATATTGATAAGCTGGTATTTTAAAACCTCTTTCTAACAGTCTGATTGCTGTACTCATTAACAGATTCCTATATACTAAGTACTTTCATTTTCTCTTCTAGGACATTTTTATTATCATTTAGCAAGGGCTTATTATGTAACAGGAAGGATTTGAAGTGCTTCACATATGTTAACTCAATAACTTTCACAACATTTTTGTAAAGATTTTGTAGCTTGATTTTACATGCTGTATTCATAGTCGGAAAAATCATGCATACACCACAAAAATGTACAATGACACTATGTAAATCAGAAATCACAATAAAAAGAAATAAATGCAAGAAACAGTATAGTTAGGTAACTTGCCAGTAGCCTCAGAGGCTATCTGACTCCATAATCTATGACAATAATATAGACTGTATAGTCTATGACAAATACAGTGCTTTAACTCAAATTCTGCTCACAGTTTTTAACAACTCATTATCCCCTTTTCATTAGGTCCCATCAGTTTCTTCCAGTGTGTCTACTTGGATGGATACAATGGCTATGGATTTCAGTTTCCTGTCACTCCTGCACAACGCCCTGGAGAGAGCTCTAGTCGACCAAATTCTCCAGGACAGAAGCAACAAGGACAATAGGACACACATGCATGACCCTTATGAGTGTTTTCAGGTTTTGAAAATGGGATTCTCTGTTTTGTCCACAGTAGTACAGGCAATTAAAATACCATCCAGAATATTTCTTTGAAAACTTTACTCTTCTGCCTGGTGTAGAGAGAAACTATGGGCAAAGGGACGGAATAACATGCATACATGTTGAAGGGTCTAATACTCAAAAATCTGTTATTTTTCTTTGTTGCTGTGGGAGGAGGATTGCGTGTAATTTTTTCTTATTTCCACTCACTGTAAGGTTGTGTACAAATTAATATCTTTCTTTAATTTTGGTCTTTTACAATGTAATTGATACAATTACAGAATGAAATTCCTGGCTTCAGTTAGATATTTTAAATAACAGAGACTATGCTCTAAGTTTAGAGGATACAGGAACTTATATAAAAGCAGCTCTTTTGTGTCGTCTGGATTGCTAAACTCCACCAAGGAAATTGATGCTTAATAGTTTCATTTTGTTTATAGGTGTTTCTGTTTTCGTTGTGGCTAAGCTCTAGGAATGGGTAACAGTTGACCAAAGAGTGCTGTAAGTTCCTTGTGATACTCTTAGAACTCAAAACATTTCAGACATGATAAGATAGAGAATAATTGTTTAAGAAATCCTGTCTCTAGGCTTTGTCCTGAATTATAGTAAGGATATTCACTTCAGTAGACATACACCATCCAGAGCAGCAGGTCTGAAGGATCTCTTACTTAAAGTATAAACAAATGAGATATGGATTTTTTGGATTTCTCCAGACTTTGCTCTAATGAAAATGTCACCTGGGTGAAATTTTAGATCAATCACTAAATTTGGGTGACAGATGAAAAATATTTTATTTTACTTCACTTAATACATTCTTTCTGAGAGATTAAATAATTTTTCTCTCTGCAAATGGAAAAATATGAATGTCATCAAAGTTGAAAGAAGACATTTTCACAAGTGCCTTTGTGAGATGTCTTACTTGTCTATAGGTAATTGGACATCAATGCCAATGAAATGAATGACAATTTTTAACCTACTTGATGATGCATCATTAGGAATCATAACTGGGGTTTTCTCATCCTCCTAGTGATATAATACTCATGTTCTTTACTACATTTTTCTATATCAACTCCCAAAGTTATGCTTCTGTGACCTTTTACCGTGTTTACAGCTGCAACTGAACTTGTGACAAGTTAACTCAGGAAGTACATTTTACTATCTTTTCTGTCATTATTGTAACCTTGGCCAGGTCTGATATAGTCACAGCCAGTACTAGTTACATGGCTTATTTTCAAGATCCACAGCGACAATTCTTTAGGTCCAAGGTATAGAACAATTTTACTGAAAATCGTTTGGCTAGGGCATCACTAATATGCTCATTAATCATCATGGATTTTCAGTGACTTTTGTGAAAGAAATTGGTCCCAGTTAAGTGCTGGTGGACCTAATGCACACCACCAAAGCCGAAGTTATAACGAACCAGATTAGTTGTACTCTTTACAAGGGGGTGCAGGCAACCTGAAAGTGTGTGATTTCGGGACTGATCAGATGCACAGCCCCTTTATGAAGCAAGGTAAACTTGTGGGCAGGACTACAGACAAAGTTGATTGCTCAACTATGTTCTCAGCCTGATCAACTTAAAGAATAAAGGAATAGAGAGAAAAATATGATAACTGTTTTAGATTTCATAGAACAGAATTGTTTCTCCATTAATTCTTTCATTCAATGGCTATGTATTGAGCATTTACTCTAAGATACTGTGTTTGGCACTGGACTGTATAAGAAAAATATACGGATAAATTCTATTCCCAGTGCTTTCCTGATAGAGTGTATGACCTGGGAAAATTTACTAAACATACTATGTTTGTTTCTCCATGTGTAAAATAGGGATATCAAGACAAACCACCTAATACCTAATATGCATATGACATTGAAATAAATTCTGAAATAACATATTGGATGTGGCACTAATTTTCCATCTGAGTGCTTCTCTACATTATATTGTTGTTTCTTTCACACTCATCACGAGAAACTATTTGATAAAAAGTAAAACATGACATACATTATTGTAATTAGAATTAAAACCAAACAATTATAATGTAAACAACATTAATAATCGCTGTTAAATTTTATCTGATTGAAATTGAAATTACAATGATAATAGCACTTTACAAGTTCTATCTAAACTGTCATATGTTTTTGTTCCATCCAATAAAATATTTTAACCCTTTCAAGTTTAATGTCTTACATTTTTTATTTCAGTTTTTATTTCTTTTTACCAAAGGGCATGTGAGCTTGCCAGAGAAAGAGAGAAAAGGAAAGCACCCCTAATGGGGCACATAGCAATCCTTTTTCCTTCATTTCTTCATTGCATCAGGATTTAGAGCATGCGCACACAACTGCCTTGTGTTTTTCAAGTCACAAGGGCTCAGACTTGAACCATGATTGGCTATGTGGGATCTGGCTTCCTATGTACAGCAGTTAACTGCTGTGCTATAGGGCCAGTCTGAGGTCTTACATTTTAAAAGGAAGAGAGAAAGAGATAAAATGGTTGAATTAGAGTCTTCTTTTTAATATTGAAAACACTTTTTAAATTTTTACATTTAATCGTTGTACTTCTTCACAAGTACATACAATATGGTTTTTCAAAGCATGCATACAGTGTATATCAGTGCATATCCGTCAAAGATGTTACCATATATATAATTTACAACAGAAAACTCTACATTCTTTATATTTTTGGTTTCTTAAATGTTTTCCTCCTGAGTCCTATGAAACACAAACACTTTATATTCCTGCAAAGACTGGATAGGAGGGGGTGAATAATAGGGCATGGGAGGGAGGGTCTCAGAAAGAGTCTCTGTCTTTAATAGTTCATTCATATGTCTTGCCATGTGGGTCACGAATATGTAAGCACTTAATAATTGGTTTAATTCTGTAATTTGTCCTACTGGTATCAGCTGCCCACCCTCCTACTTTATTCTCTGTTAATGGTTGAATGACTGAAGAAATTTAGAACTGATTTTAGCTAAGGTTTTTGATTTATGTTTAGTTTTGTAAAGCCTGATAAACATTATTCAAATGAAGTGTGAGTTTTTGTTTGTTTATTTGTTTTTGCTAAATCTTTTGAAAAGCAACTGTATGTTGACTAATTTTAATATGTACTTATCAAATCTTTTAAGAAAATATTTCAGAGACTGATAATGTATACTTAAGCACTCATCTTATTTCCTTAAGTAATTTTAATGGGGGGAAAAAAGCAGAGAGCAACAAATATTGCTGATAAAAAACTCAAAAACTATGAAGTCCAACTAACACATATATAAAATAAAATTAATTCCTACAGAAACTAATACATTTTCCAAAGTCACTGTATGTTTCAAAGCCACTCCCAGAATTTTGGTCAGCTAATTCCCAAATGCCTTTGGTCACTTCCTCAGGGTCTTATTACTAAGCTTGAGTAATTTGTCTCCCATTCCCAGATCCCTTTTTGAGTTATAACCAATGTTAGAAATGTAACACTCTGTGAGAAGACTTCTTCTACTTAACAGCTAAAAAGTATATTTATTTATTTATTTAAGAATTATTTTATCTAACTTTATTTATTTTAATTTGACTGGGGGTTGGGGAGAGTGTGTGTGAGAGAGAGAAAGCAAGCCCCCAGGTCCAGGACTCACATCACAGCCAGCCATGTGGGAATCCAGCTTCCTTAACCACCAATGCCACCTGCTGGCCCCTGAAAAGTACTTTCAGACTGTGTTGCATACACTTGCTTGAGAGACAAAGAAAATAAATCTCAGATAATTTAGGTGACATGCCTGGGGCTACCTTGCTACTTAGTAGTAGAACTAGATTAGGAACTCAAATCTTTTGTATTTTCCATTCTGTGCATTATCTCCTTAACCTGTGTGACTATGATGACTCTACCATCATAAAAATTCCTTTCATTGTTTGCAAGCTCATGAACACATGGAAACTCAGCACATCTTCCCAGGAATAGGACTCTTTGCAACATTCTTTGCCCTACTCCTTTAGGATTATATCAATACTATTTTGTGTTTTTTTTAGCCCTCACTAATCATGTAAGTGCATAAAATATTTAGCTATTCCTGTAGGTACTTTTCTTTTTGTCTAAACTACTTTATTTTCCAAACTACTTAGCTATTAAAAAAACATCAGTCATTGAAAAACCACAAATATTTTCTCTGACTATAAAAAGCAAAAGCAACTCTTTTTAATTCCAAGTCCTCAGAAGATTCAGGTGAACAAAATGAAGAAAATAAATGACTATAAAATACATTTCAACTCTTAAAAAAAAAAGCTCAGAATAAATGATGAAGTGAATCATCAAATATTAATATTCCTGAGTCATACAATTTCCAGTGAGAAGCACATGTTAGCAAAGTGGTGAGAGCAAAGAAGGAAATTCTTAGTTTCTCCTACAGCCATATTCAGCTCCAAGCTGTGCACCCTCTGAGATATGATCAACTCTTTCATCTGTGTTCCCTGTGGAACTCATAGCATGAACTGACTACTTGCATCAAATTGTTATGGCTATGCTGCCTCTTTACCCATCATGTCCAAGGCTCACTTAAATAACTTAATAATGGATCAGTAAAATGGTCCATGCCTTTTAGAAGACTACTAGGTCAGATGTGTTTTGCAAACAAGTGTGCTGTGGAAGAGAACCTACTGGACAAGTCCAATGTTGGACTCTAATTCTAGGAGTAATTATGATCATTTATCTACTCTACCATTTCTCTTCTATTTTCATTTAGTTTTTCATCTCAAAATGAAAATATAAGTTCCTATGGCACAAGGATGTTCATCTTGGTGAGATAAGTTACAGAAAAATACTTTGTGAAGTGACGTTATTTTTATAACCTTTTAAATCTCCTTTTTTTGTTTTGTTATTAAATTATCTCTATATGCCCTGCATTGACAGCCTAGTGTTGCCAAGTGGCATGAGCCAAAGCAGCAAATTAAAATCAGAACTGCATGAGCCAAATGCAAAAATGAGAACATTGCCACTGGAAAAACCATTTTTTAAAAAAAAATGTACTACTTTGGGTTATTTTTATTAAGTTACTATAATATCCTACTTGAATTCTGACACATGGAGCTTATAAAATGTCTGTAGAAAGTGGTACTTGGAAGAGCTCAAGTGGAACAATGAGCCAGGTACCCCAAGACACTGCTATGTAATTGAGCACATATTAAAATAGCCAAAGGTGTTGAGCAATCTAAGTTAGTGAAGGCAATGTTAAAATACATACTAACTGGAACCAGCAGTTAGCGTAATGGCTATGTCGCTGGACTCCCACGTAGTCAACCGCGGTTCATGTCCTGGACCCGGTGGCTTAAAACTCACGCCGGGCGTGTGTGCGTGCGTGCCCAAGATCCCGAGAGGAGAATGGAGGAGAAGGGATTGCGGTGTGACTATCCCCCCTGGGGGGTGATTTCTCGCTTTCTGTCTCTATATCTCTCTCTGTCTGTCTGGCGAGCGCACGCGCCCTACAGTGAAAATCTCTCCAAAAAAAAAAAAAAATACATAGTAACTGTGGGCTGGCAGGAGGTGTATGTTAGTTAACGCCCTGGATTCCCACATGGCCAACTGCAATTCAAGTCCTAGACCTGGTGACATAAAAATCACACTGGGTGCACGTGTGTGTGTGCCCACAGCCTCAAGAAGAATAGAGGAGAA